GACACATAACGGCAGATTGTGAACATTCGAAAAATTGAGAAATAACAGTGTCAGATACTTCAGAATACAAAAACAAATATCACCATTCGACTCAGCGTGATGAATTATCCCATTCTAGACGCCTTTCCGGGTGATCCAACGTTCAATAGGTGAAATCAGGCATCTCAGGAAAACCCTTGTAACTCTTGAACGAAACAAGTTAGGAAGAGCGGCCTTGTGTAGATCGAAAGAGAACAGTTTTTTCTATTGAACACTCAAACCAACAATTCAAAGAAATCGAAAAATAACTCGAGAATGTCGTTTTCAAAATGTCCACGAAAAAAAAACCCTAATTGGTCCATTGCAAACCAATCAGATTTCAGTACTGATTTATGCCCCCGAGCCTTTTCTTTTTAATGATGAAAGCCGCAGCTCTCTATCTTATTCCTATCAAAAGTTATTCAAAAAATAACAACCTGCCTTTTACTTTGAAATGGACAATAATGCTCCTTCAAACAGAAAAGGAAGTAATTAGCTGCAATGACATTAATTCGAAAATTCTGAAAACAGCATATTTTTTCAAGTAAAAGGTGACTGAAAAGTGTAGTAATTAATTCAAATATTTTGATATAGCCTGTAAAATATTAAATATCTTTTATGAATGATAAACTTTCATGTTTCTTTTATCATTATTTAAAATTTTATATAAGTGTTCTTTGTTATTTAGCAAGATTCGCCATCCGAACTGAGCCCATCGTCAAATATAAGTGAGGTACAAGTTCTTTTTTGTATTGTTCTATTGTATTAAATATTGATATTTATATTTCTTTTTGTTTTTAGCTTTCAACAGCCAATAGTAAAGTATCAAAAACTGTTGAACCAAGTTAATAAAATGCTATAGTAAAACAAATTATTTCTATGAATAAATAAATAAAAACAACCATATTTATTATTGTATATTGTTTCAAAAGAGTTTACATGGAAAAGATCAATGAATACGATTCAAATATACCGATTGTTTTTCATTCCATAAAGAAAATTGTTGCATGGAAAAATGCTCAAATGCACTTCAATATATTAACAAAAAGAAACATGTGAAACAAGAAAATTTTCATTGACAACTATATCTAATAGAAAGTGGTTGATAGAGAAATTTTAGTTCTTTCTTCTGCTCGTGATTATATGACACAGAGAGAGAGAGAGAGTACGAAACAAAAAAAGGGCGCTCATTTTACTCGTTCGCATACATTTTTAATGGAATGAATATTGAAATGTGAGTAAGCACAAGAAAATGGTACTGTCTTCGTCCCATTATTCGTTCGTTTATCTCGGATATTGACGAAACTTCACATTATCGTCTATGTATATCCACATATATAAATGTAGATATCCGAATAGATTCAATTCAAATGTGTCGCATTAGTGCACACCCACTAGTCAGACGAAACAGCTCGAAAAGAATCATCATCACTAAAAAGCTCATTCCGCTGCCATTTGGGTCAGACACAATATACATCATTGATCATCAAACGAACACAGAAAAAAGGTCTTTCATTTTCATTCTCTTTCTCTTCTTCGGCTAATAACAAAACAAACAACAACTAAAGATAATAATCTTTCATTATTTGAAATCTAAATATCGGTAAGAATATGTTCTCTTTTCTCTATAAATTTTGTAGCGATATGGCAAGATACCAGCGTGACTGATTGATATATCAACTAATTTCAGTCATGTGATGTCTTTCCACTTTGCTCAATAAAATGATCAAATTAAAGTTAAAGTAATTATGACATGCACAGAAATATTTCTTCTTTTTTTTAATTATGTTTGTTATATATTGGTTCAACTTTAGTTTCCAACAAGCTTGCCAACATCATGAGTAATAGGTTGCGCATCAATATCATATTTGCTTAGTATTTTAACTAATTTACCATTATGTGAAACTTCATGTACAACTAGATGAATAATTTAGATATCTATTTAATCAACAAGACAAGCCATTATTGCTTCACCAGGTCTATCCGATGGATAATGATCTTTACCAACATTAAGTTGATTATGTGTCACATTAATTATTTAAGAATTGAATCTGGACCATTCTGTTTAACAGTACAAGCATCAATAATTCGAATAGATTTACCAGCATCTGAAAGTTTTCGCAATCCTTTAACTGTTTTACGTGATGTAGCACCACCAGCTACTTCTAAATATCATTTGATGATTCAACAATAATTTTTATACAATAGCAAAAAACAAAAAACTAAGATGTTTTGTTGTCATCTTATGCTTTTTTCTTGTTTATATTAACTTTTCCTATTTGAAACACTTCATCATTTTTATATAAAAATTAGAAAATTCCTTCTAGTTATTCGCATAGAAACATCTCCATTACAACTAACAGTTAATTCAATAACACATGCAGCCGAGCCACTATCTGATAAACAACAACAAACAGCTTCTGGCCAGTGCAAAAAAACAGTAAAAGCTTAGCAAGAGCCATTAGTGATGGATAGATAGAAGATTGCATGATACAGAATAGTTGCTAAGGCGTCTCTAGAAAATCATCAAACCTCTAGTTTTTCTGGATCGACAAAGCGAGCATAAAATTTGCTCTCGTTATACATAATCAAAGAGCAAATGATTCTGTACAGAATGAGACAGTCCAGAGCTCTCTATGACGTTTCTTAGCCAAACCACATTAGATTTATTGAAGGCTTCCAACGGAATTTTTAATCAAGGCATTCCTCTCAATGATTATTGGCATGACTATACTGTTGCCACAAACGAGAGTGTGTCTGACCGATCGATTTATACTCTTGATATATTGGAGATACCCAATATTCTTTTTCAATGATTGTTTCATCAGTGGTTCTTCTAGAATCATTATGTGGAAAACGTAAGGGTGTGGGTATGGATGCGCATAAATAGAAGACTTACACGAACATTCACCCGCCCACACCCTCTTGTTTTAAGCTTATTAGATGATCATAATCAAAAGTATCAATCACACAGCACACTGAATGAAACAGATATTATTTCATGATCAGATAAAGACAAATGATAAAAGTAATAAGAACAATAGTTTACTCACGTGTTTGAAATGATTTAATAACATAATGCATTTGTTGGTTACATAAACAAGCTGTTTCAATGCAAAAATTAAAATTTTCTAACTTCGTCATATGAACTCTAAGTTCGTTAAAAAGAAGATTTCCATCGACATATTCTAATGAATAACGATAAGCAGGATCTTTATGAGTGAAAGTTAGATCAAGATTGAGAAGACCATTACGAAATAAGCGAGTAAAGCTCACAACACTTAGAAAATATTGTACAAACCCATGCATTCTAGATATAGATGAATGCACAATTGAATGTGATGTTTACCTATCGAAGTTACTTACCGAAAAATTAATTTTGTTAAATTGGTGCATAGACAAATGCAGGAAAGGAACAGATCATTGTCATTTCTCGTAACATGCTTGCAAATACGAACATCTGTAATAAAAGGAATGTCTCTCATATTATAAAATTGCAGGTGTGACATATTTATATTATAGACTGCATATCATTCTCTTTGAAAATTGCAGCAGATAATCTTTCATAACATAAAACACTGTATCAAGTATGTAAACTAGTCCATAGATACATCAATAGTACATTATCTTTTTTCTCGTTGTATGATTTTACATTTAGAATTGGAGATGAATACAAAGGAAGATTTCTATTCTGTTTTTGTACAAATAGACAAACATGATAGTTACTTGAGGCTCGGTCTTATTGCACAGAACCAACATTATTCACAATAAATCAGTTATTATTTAATTTTCATTCTCACAAGGCCAATATTCAGATAAGCAAATGTTTCTTGCTGTTTTTTTTTCCAAATTATTAATACTTAGATATGTTTTTAGTTTATATTCATTAATTTCCAAGTTCAAATATAAATTGATTCCGCACCCTTTACACTAAAATAATGTTTTTGACTTTTGCTTTTACATTTTCCTCAATTTTCTACTCCCATATCGAAACTACTTGACTCGAATCAGCTGAATAGAAAAATCTTAAACATTTATTTAATAGTTTATTTTATTCTTTGTAGGTGGAACCATTCAACTTAATATGAAATAGATAATCTGCATGATCAATTTGTACATCCTCTCCTGTACTAGACTTCGCCAGAATAAAGGATCTATCTTGAATTAAATCATCAAAAGAGAAATATTAAATTCGAAGAGAAAAATATTCTATCACACTATACCACTGACAACTATCTCCTTGGAACATAAGTTCTGCACGTTTTGGGTACTATTCTCAGAGGCCTATATGTTTTTTGTTTCACGTTGCATAATGACTTGGGTAATGGCTTTTGTAAAAGAACAGTGTCGCGATTATTTTGATATGCGTTTTGATCTGCACTCCATAGCCACACACATAGGATTCTTGTGTATGTTGGCATGCCTTGATAATAGCGTTTCGTTCTCTCCGCTTTCATTCTGTGAATGACGTCATTGGCTCTTTTCTTCCTCTCATTTGGTTGTATTGAACATTTCCACCTGTGCTTCCCTCGTTCTCTCTTTGTGATAACTTTGAAATCTTTAGTTCTTATTGGAAAGTTTCCAACCATCTTCTGTGGGTTTTCCCCATGCTTCTGATTCTTCTCTATCTCAGTCGGTCTATCTAAAGTCTTTTATCTTTAAACAAAATTAACGTTTAATTGTGTGAAATTAAATGGATGAACAAAAAAAATTCATATTCGCCACTGTATGCTCTACGAATTCAATCAGGGCTCAACAGCAGCTGAGGCAACAAGGATTATTACTGGTACATATGACGAGGAAGTCGTTGATAGTTCCGCTTGTCGTCGTTGGTTTGCCAAACTTCGTTCTGGAGATATCAGTGTGACGGATAAACCTCGCTCTGAGCGACCTATGGACTTTGACGATGAAGCGCTGGAAACTTTGCCCCATGCTGATCCACGCCAGACAACACGCGAATTGGCCGCACAACTCAACTGTTCACATATAACAGTCGATCATCATCTTCGTGCTCTCGGCAAGATCCATAAGTACGAAAAATGGGTTCCATAGAAATTATCCACAGACAACTTGACTCAGCGGGCATCAATTTGTACTTCATTGCTTTCTCGATAGGAACATGAGCCATTTTTGGAACGAATTGTTACTGGAGGTGAAAAATGGGTGTGTTACGTCAACGTCCGTCGGCGGCGGCAGTGGCTTGATCCTGGTCAAATGTCATTACCGAATGTAAAGCCAGAACGCAATAGATGATACGTAGTGTTCAACAATAGATTGGAAAAACTTTTCAGGAGTTGTTGGATATTTTAAAGATCCGATTCAAATGTTAGAAGTTTTTCACTGTATGTTCTCCATTAACAACATAAAAACCCAATGTTGTTCAACATTGCTAGTATTATGATGTTAATTTTTATTTATAAAATAAATCAAAATGATATGTTTGAATCAATATGTAAACATAAGCTAAATGATACAAGTTAAATTAACTAGAGAACGTCATTGAACATTCAGAATGATGTAAACATGGTAAAAAAATATTTGCACGGAAAAACACATTTTAACAAACACAAATTGTTAACACAACGGATAAAAATTAGTCGAATTTTATTTTATGTTTGCTTAGCATTGAAATATTCTTTATTTCCTTATACCTTTAAACTTTGTTTGAAGAAAAAATTATAGGTGCTTATAATAAGTAGTGCATGTGCCACATTTTCTCGTTTGTGTTATTTTTCTACAGCATGATATTCAGTGATTGTTAGATAGTATTATCAACAATGATCAGCATTATCCAATACCTGATGATAATATTTAAGTTGTATGTTGTTAGTAAAGATGGTCTTTGTTCCACTTGATACTAATGAAGCCTCAGCACAAGTGAATGTGATAGAACAAATTTAAAAATGGCTTGAAATATATGAAACAGATACCTGTTACTTCTTTTTTTGTCAGTTTCTTAGTATCATTTAGTAGATCTCGTCTAGATCAATCGACTGATATGAAATCTGAAGTAGACTACTACTATCAGGGCTGGCCCGAGTCAGCAAACATTGGGGGGTTGTCGCGATTTTTTGGGGGGTTGTTTCGGATATTTTGAATGCGAATAAAACTTTTTTCTAACACTACTCACGGAAAAAAAATCATTTTTGCTGGGTAAAAACGAAAATTTTCGATTATTGGGGGGTTGCCACAACCCCCAAAACCCCCTATCGGGCCAGCCCTGACTACTATATCGATAAGAAACTGAAACAGCTTAATTCTGCATATAGATCGCAGTGATAGAGCTGGGATTTTGGGCCAGAGAAGCTCAGCCTTCCTCCGCCCTACGAATCTTTGAGGCTTCCTGAGGAGAATTTTGAAGACAAAAATAGATTTTTCAAAAATTTTGCCAGAGGAGATACGAATAGTTTTGCTTCATAAAGAACCCCGGCTTTTTTTGGACTTTGATAATCTGATTTAATCCATTATAGCTGTAAGGACAGTTGATCATAAATAATGAATAATATAGATAATTAAACAATCAATCGACAGCGTTCTTTAAAAACATGTTCATAGAGTTCTCGTAGTGGTGAATTAGGCCATATCCTCTCAAGAGAATAAACTTCAACATTAATAAAAAGTATTTGATTTGGACAAAACTCTTGACCCACTGTTATATAATTTTATACAAGACTAATAATTGCAATTGATTATTTAAAGTGAATCGAAAATTGAATAATCACCAGTATGAGTAAACTAACTATGCAAAACTTTGAAAAGAAACATTTGTTCAACAGTTGATTTTAATACTAAGTATAAGACCAATTGAATAAGTCGTTTGCATAATATTTTTCTGAACCTTCTAGGTCATTCTGCAAGCAAAATCTATACTTTGACCTAACCGACCGGTTGCTATATCAGTGAAAGTTAAACGAGAAAAGATGTCGAGAATGTTTTTCCGTTAGTGATATTTTTACAAATGTTCGATGACTTTCAGGATTTGAATCTATTAACACATAAGAAAAATCAATCATAATTCTATGACAAGTTTTCTATTCATATTTCGTAAAACATTATTTATTTCAGCCATCAATGAACAACTAATTGATTGTCTATAAATTTAGATTGTTAGAATAATTCTTTTATCTTTTATTTAATAATCATAAATAAAAAAACAAACACGAGAAAGTTATGAAATATTGACTACTTTAAACAAAGACTTTTCTATTGATTTTGTTTTTCTATTCGACATATAGATGTCAGTATTATTCGAACTAGAAAAAACAAACGAATTCTCTTTCATTGTAAATTGCCTATATACATTCGAAAATTTGAAAAAATTTATAAGCCAACATATTTAGAACAAAACATACTATGAAATACTTTTTTTTACTTTGAAAAGAAAATTAAAGATCATAATTGGTTTTCTATAGGAAACTATACAATTAAAATCTTATATAAAATATATAATATCTGCTTTTGAAAACCAATGGATATGAACTAAAAATTTAAGATTTCCTTTTTCTTTTAAATAACATAACAATCTTAATTGATTTATTATGTTATATTATACAATTCAATGTTCATGTCTACATTTATTTCCCTATAGTGTGTGACATAAGGCATTCATTTTTTTTTTCTCTCTTTTTTCGTTCTTTCTCATATGTTGTCTATGTTTTCAATTGAATATATTGTGCATTCTATTTGAACTTCGATATATCAATGAACGTCAGTTCAATTGTAATTTTCCTAACATGAATGACTGTTTATGATCAATGAAATGACCTCGGTCACTATTTTTCTCTTTTTCTTTCATTCGTTTTCTTTCGTGCATTTCTTTTTCCTAGATCTAGTTCGTTCTCGCACATACAAAGGTATCATTATTAGAAAAACATTCTTTCACTAGACAAATCGGACTATATATAAATATATACATATTACTAGTTGTTCACAATTCTTTCTTTTATCCGACCTCGACGAAAAAGAAGTTAAACTTAGAATATAGAAAATTCAGTCATTCGTTGCAAAATCATCTAAACATACACACACATACATTTCTATAACAACATATCATTTCTACTTTTACATCTAGTAGATATTTATATATTTTTAATCAATGGATATTAATTGTTGTCCACGCAACGATTTTTCATTTCCAACAAAAAATAGTACTAAAGATTTTCTTTCAACATGGCCAACAACATTAAATGGAAATATATCGAGTAAGTTTAATATGATTAAACGCGAAAAAAATTTGCTTTATAAAAAAAAAATTTTTTTTTTTCTAGATGAAAATATCTTCGATCAAGAAACAAAACCATTTCAAGATTATATTCTACGTAATAGCTCGAATATATTATCACTTGAACAATCATCATCATCATCATCTTCATCAACATCATTATCATGTGTATTACCATTTCAACAACTTGTTATTAATGATCTTAATACACAACATAATTCATCAATTTTACCATTTACATTTAATAATAATAGTTTAAATGAACCATTACCATTTAGTTCAAATCATCAAACAAATATAAATGATGAAAATGCACGACCACCATGGTTACTTTCCTTAGCACCTATATCACAAATTTCACCACCATTTTTACAACAAAATCAACAACAATCAATTTTACCAATGATATCACCTATACAAGATGATTCAACAGAAAATATACGTCATTGGATTGGTGATTTTTCAACTGAACAAACAAATACAAATAATAATAATAATAACAATAATAATAATAATGGTTTACAACAAATACCATTACTTTCACAAAAAGTTTTTATTGGCGGTGTACCACGTTTTGCAACTGAAACTGATATACATGCAAATTTTGATCGTTTTGGCATATTTGAAATACAATGGCCAAAATTACATGGTGGTCATAAAGAACAACATCGTGAAAATGGATTTTTTCATATTGTTTTTCATAATGCAAAATCAGTTTGTGCATTATTAGATAGTTGTTCACGTCATACAAATAATAGTGCATGTGCTGATTATTTTATTCATTTTGAAACAGCAACTGGTTCAAGAAAAACTGTTGAAGTTATACCATGGAATATTGGTGATAATAATTATGCTTTGCGGTAAATATTTTCCTATATTAATAAATAGAGATATGATTTGAAAAACCTAATAGAATTAGTATAGATAATATGACGGGCGGCGCCCTTCCGAAGATTAGCCTTACCAAATTTTGTGATTATTGTGCCATGCACTATAGTATATCTATTCTGTCACTATTAAATGTTCGTCCATCAGAAAGATAAGATTTAGTAGTACTAAAATCGTAGACTTCTAGAGGGATGAAATATTGTCTTATATTTTCATTTTCGTAATGTTTGTATTGAAGAACGTGAAGGAGATGGTGCTCTCAAAACGAAGAAATAAAGAGTTAATGTTTATTTTCAGACCACCACAACAACTTGATTCAAAAAAGACAATATTTGTTGGTAATCTTCATGGTACAATGACAGCTCGATATTTATGGCGTTTAATGGAAGATTTATTTGGTGGAGCTGTCTATGCTGGTGTTGATATTGATAAATATAAATATCCGTAAATAATAATTAAAAAAAAAATTTTTTTTTTTTGATAAAAAATAGAATTTTTTTTTGACGTTTAGAATTGGTAGCGGTCGTGTAACATTTGATAATAGTTCAAGTTTTCTTCATGCTGTTTCAACAGCTTTTGGTAAATTTAAAAAAAAAAAATAATAATAGTTCGTTTTTGAAAAATTTCCTTTTTTTTCTTTAGTTGATGTTCGAACTCCACGTTTTCTTAAACGTCTTCAAATCGAACCACATTTACAATATCGATTTTGTTCATTATGTAAAACAGCTGCTGGTGATTTATTTTGTCGAAATTTTGCTTGTTTCGATTATTTTTGTCAACGTTGTTGGCAAAAAATTCATATTGGTAGTATGGCATCACATAAAGCAGTGACACGTCATTCAAAATCTTCACAACCAGTCTTTCATCCAATTCAACAACAATCAATTTCTCAACCAATTGATTGTATTATAGGTGCAAATGCATTTTAAATATATTTGTATGTGTGTGTACGTATGATCTCAATTTAAAAATTTAATTTCTAGTCGTCGTCGTACATGTAGATGAATGACTGTTTATTATTATCTTATGTTTTATTTTATTTTTTCTCTTTTTACACTCTTTATTCTTTTCTCTTAATTGAAGAGATTTTTGATAGCTTAAAAAAATAATTAATGAGATTGTTCGATGTATGAACATACTTTCTTCTTTTTTTTCATTATCAGATGATTTTTTTTTCAAGCTGATATTAGCTTGTATCTTTAGTTGATTTTCTTCTTTTTCTTTTCTATCTTCTATTGCCCTGTCATATGAGTCGTGCAAAACGAAGAATTAATAAAATAAATAGAATTCTTTTTCTAACAAAAAAAAAAAAAAACAATAACTAAATTGAGAGTATTTTGTCTTTTTTTTTTCTTTTTATTCTAATTTTTTCTTCTCTCTTTTGTTTGTTCTACTTTCTCTGTCTGTGTTAGAAATGATCTGTTTACTTTTTTGTTCTCTGTCATTATTGTCTTTTTTTCTTTTGCTGCTAAGTTTTTTTTTTGTTGCGTGTGTTTAAGTATTTTTTTTTCATCAAATGATTGAAAAACAAAAACTCACGACAAAGAAAAAAACAAACAGAATCGATTTGTAGATTCTTGTGAATGATACTATTTAAAGTAGAATAAATGATCGTAATTAGAACAATATTTCGATGGTTTATATGAAGGAAAGAAAGACTTTCCACTTGCGCGGATGAAGGGGTTTGTTTACATTGACATGGAATTCTATGAAAATGATTAATAATATATTTTTCATACTAATGAAATAAAATCTGTACGGTTTCAACGGAAATAATACACATGACTGACTAGCAATATGCACTCTTCAGATTCGCATTGTCTTGTCAGTAGTTCAATGAATCTTCGTCCTGTATATTAAAAACAGTTTTAATCAAAGTATTGAACACAATCAGATGTGCATCCTAACAGCCAATAGAAGCCATACAAAAGTACGCAAACATCAGATTTAGTTATTCAAGAGTCATATAGGTACTCTAGTCAAAACTATCGATCGATTGTTTTAGCAATAGATGTGAAAACAATGACATTTGTTGCTTTTTTCCGACACTTTAAAAAGTTTCGGAAAACATCTTAGGAAACCCTAGAGATTAAAACTGCAGTACTCTATCTTGTTTTGTTAAGCGATACTAATTTTTTCGTAAACAAATGCATAAAAGGAAGACCTTTTTAAGGTGTATTCGATGACGATTGCAATTTTCCTTGGCCTCAACAGTTAACAAAAAGTGTTGACAAAAAACTATTGTTTTCGGCATTGTAGTATTGTGCATAACTTTTGTTTCAAAGAATTCAATATTGAACCTTTTGGTAATAAATGCGAAAACATCGGATTTAAATCCGAGTGTTATGTGTACTTCAAAAAGTGAAAAGGTATATTCACTTTGTTTTTTATCATCTGAGACATATCTAGACTATTTGCTTTCTTCATGTAGTTTTTCTGCATTTTGAGACCTTTTTCGGGGGATGTTTTGTTAGAAAGCTACGATTTGGTTCAAAACTAATATCAGATTCGGAATCAGCGTTAAAAACTGAGTCGATTTATATATATTGCGAATAATTCGGAGAAAAAAATTTTTTTTTTGAAAAAATCCCTGTACCCCCCTTCAGGGATAGTCTTCTCAATAATGACAATTTTTTCGATAACTCAGCCATTTCTTGACAGATCCTGCTCATCTTCGAACTCGACCGAGACATTGTTAAGACTGAACTGTGTAGAAAATTTCATCGTGATCGGACTCTCCTTTCGAAAGTTATCGTGTATACGGCCGGACGGACATACTGACCGATTCTAGAGTGTGCTCACTTTTTGAGTACACAAAAATGATCGATAGCAGAGTCTAATTCGAATCACAAAAATTTGTCCTATGTCGAACATTAGTCGATTTCGACTAATTATTAGAATGAGTAAGGTAACAGTTTACACTAATATCAATAGACTTTAATAAACAAAATATATCTAAAGTTTTGTCTATAGTTGAAGTCATAAAAAATACTTTAAGTTTTTGTTTTATAATTATCGATTGAGAGTGTCCAAATTTTTATTACTTTTATCAGTTAAACGATCAAAGAATAAATATCCAGTAGAGATTTACTAACTTTTTCCAAAATTCAGAAGTAAAATTTTTCTTTCAATAAATAATATCAGTTACATAAGCATAATCAATTTTTAAAGACCTCAAACTTCTCTCTCGGCTATTTCAATTAATTATGTTTTCTGGAAAGCGTACTGCTAATATGAGAATCTTCAACATTCAAAAAAAAAAACAATAACGAGAAATTTTTTAATTTCATATGAAAACAATTTTCTTTCTGAAAACGATTAGAGGCAAAAATTGAAGTAGTATTTTTAATTTTCAAAGATGTTTCTGAATTGAATTTGACCCTATGGGAAAAGACCATATATCTATCTACTAATTTTTATAAGCTTGAAATATTTGTGTGCATCTCTCTTCTTGTTTAACATATGTCTTTTTGTGATAATATTAATTAAACTGTATTGTATATGTCATGTTGGAGTTATTCTAGCTTAATAAAAAAAAAAGTTCAAACTTAACAATGATATTATGAAAAACAATCAAAAAATAAAGTTTTGTTTTTATTTTCAAACTAATATGAAAATGAACAGACAACAAAAACATTGCAGATGTATTTGTATGAAAAATTTTTGTCGAGTTTTTCAGCTCTACTGACCACCAATTAATTCTTGACACCGCTATATCATATTTGTAGAAAGATGTAGAGTACGGCCTTTTTTTTCACAAAATTTGTTTACCCTTACCCTATCCTGCAGGGCAGGGTTGAGTAACCATACACATCTCTGTATATTTTGATACTCATGACTCACTGTTGTTTTTCAAAATTGTATTTTGGTGTCGTCTATTGGTGTAAAATTTCATGATTAAAATAGTTTATTATTCAACTGTTCATTGTTTGCTATTTTTTTTTTTTTGAAAATATGACAAGCTGTTGATAAAATTGTTTGTACCTATTTTAAAGTATCTATTCGTGGATAATTTAGAAGTCACATTTGATTCATAGAGACTTCTATTTTCAAATAAATTTACGATTTTCTCACTACTAGCAAAACTATCATTTTTTGGAGTCTGTCGCAGATGTTAATAAACAGAAATGTCTTATAGCAATCTATTATTATTTTATGCATAAACTAGTTAAGATAAAAAATTTCTTTTTAAATATTTTCAAAGTAGTTCAAAAGATCGAATCATCCGGAATCTGATATATCGCTACATTCAATTTCATTATTTTTTAAAATGTCACTAATCAAATATTCATTGTACAAACTGTTACGTTTTGTGAAATCGATTGATGTCCCTTCGGAATCGACATTCATGAAAAATACTCGGAGTCAACCTTGACGAAACAAGAATCGAGTCTCCAAAATATATCAAACAATAAAACTCAAAGTTCAGAAAACCGTCGGTACTCTGTGACCGATCTTCGGTCAAGTACATTGAAATCGCAGAAAAATTTCCGTCTTATATCATAACGTTTTTGAGAGATATTCAACAAACAAAGGTCAAAATGCCTCAAAAAATGATGCTCTAATTATAAAAGTATTTTTTTCAAAGAAAAATAGTGTGGATTTAAATACCTTCGAGTTGTTGGAATAAAAGTACTGATTAGTTTAGTTTATAGAATTTTTTTTAACCACCTATCTTAATCATGGCAAAATGTCTATCCTTTCAAAAAAAAACATCATATCTCAGAGAGACTTAAAAGAAAATTTTGAAATTTTTTCTTTTTCTACAATTCAATTTAATCGATATCTTTATGTAAGTAAAATTTCAGGTTAAAACTCGAAAATATAATTTCGCTTGAAAACTGAAGCTCTACACAGAAAACCCATTAAATATTCGATATCTCAGTAAGAAAAACCCAACAGATCAAATCACTCTAGGGTATTTATTTATTCACTAGAACCCTTTGAATTGAATTTAGTTTTAGCTTGAAAGAACTTTTATCAATTGGCGATTAGTTAAAAAAAAAAACTATATTTAAAAACAAAAATTCATAGATTAAATATTATACTTGTTTAACATCTGGTGTTGGTGATGTAAGCCAAGCAGGTCGTTGACCATTATTACTATGTCGTCTAAAATTGAAACAAAAACTATGATTAATAAATTCAAATAAAATAAAATTTACACCTTTGTCGAGCACTGCTTATATTCGTATTTATTCGATGATCTCTAGCACTACCTAAAACAAAATATATAATGAATCAAAAACAATAAAAAATGATTATTTATTTATTTGATTACCTGTTCTTGAAGTTACAATTGGTTGTTTTGATTGAGAATGACTTCTTGCACTTGATGGACGTGAGGATAAATTACCAGATGGTTGAACAGAATTTCCTTTCAATGAGAAATTAAATCCATCATTTGAACGAAATGCCATTATATTATTTTTATCTAACTTATTTGAACAATAGAAAAAAATATTTTTTAAGAAACAAAAAAATGAAATTTTTTTTTTTTATTCATTATCACCATAATTCTAGTTCTTAGTCTATAAAATACTTAGTAATAGACTTCATTGTATACATAGATGTCAGTTTAAGAATATTTGAAAAATTATTTTCATTGGTTTATAGAACAATGCCAATCATATTGATTGATTGTTTAAATGGAAAAAAAAGCTACAGTTGCTTATTTCATAATGTCAGACAACGGTATGTGTAATTTCAGATTTTTAATTAATCTATTGAAAATTTTTTTATTCGAATTTAGCTGAAACTGTTACTACAAATGAGGATACAACAGAAAAAGAAGCATCATCATCAGTTAATAATGTGAATATATCAACACCAATTCGTTTATTTGGACAATTTAAACAGAATGGTACTAGTTTTAATAATTTTGGTCAATTATCTTCAAATGGTGAAAATGCTTCATCATCATCATCAACAACAAGTTATTTTACGAGTACAGTTTCAAAATTATCATCAATTAATAGTGGAGGTTTTGGTTCATCATCAACATCATTAGCAGCATCACTTGCTCCATTAAATTCTAAGTATAAAATAATAAAAACGATCCTGTCAGATAAACTGACTATTCTTCATTTGAAAAAGTCATCTATACTGTTTTGCAAAACAACTTGTGTCACATCAAATTTTAATATTCTCTAGAAGCCATATTATAACTCAGTATGTCCATAAATCAATCTATATGAAATTTAGCTTAATAACTTTTATGATAATTTAATTTCTTCGATATTACTCTTTAGAGTAAAGTCGACCAACCATGTAACTATCTTACAAAATTGTATATTACCAAGATTTAATAGTGTACCGATTCATTACCGTCGTAATTGAAGTGCGTCATAGTAAAATTGACTAATCAATGTATATGAATTTAGCGATAAATAGTTTTCGTATGAAAAAAATTTTTCTATATATGAATAATAAATTCATCATGCTCAATCATTTGACATATGGATCTTTCGATATTGGGAAAAAAAAAGCTTTTCGCTTTTGTAGACCCTTGCAAGAGTATACATGAATAAGTTATTACAATGATGAATTTTTTTGTTTCATACGAATTTAAATTCTAAGTATTCGAGTGTAGTAAAAGTATGAAGTTTTATTTAGATTCCATATATATATTTATGTTTGGGATTTTATGAGAATTAAAAATTTTGCATTTTAGGAGTTGAATCAATTGTTTTTAAAGGAAATTCTCTAATGTTGTTTGTCTTTTTTTGCTTTGGAACTCATTTTTATTTGTTTCATAATCATGTAAACATTCCGTTCTATTGTTTTGAAACAAAGCTCAATGATACATTATATTTTTTTGTCGTTTGTTTTTGCTCGCAAAGTGTACTTGTTTCGTGATGTCATTCTTTACTTTACACGTACAATAATAGAATCGTACACAAAATGTATGTACTCATAGTATATGGGAACTAGGTGACACAAGAAAGAGGAAAAGGTTAAAAAAACCATATATTAGAGAGAAGTATTTACAGCAAAAATCGTTCTATCGGATCCGAGATCGTTCATTATTAAGAGATGTTCACTAGTAAAGGTTTTACTGTAGATTACTTTTCAAATGAAGAATAATTCTCTTATTCAACGGGATTCTTTATTTTTATTTTGTTTTTGTTTTTTGCAGCAAACCATTATTTGGTGCATCAAGTTCATTGAAGAATGATAGAACAAATAAAAATGACGATGAAGAGGAAGAAAATGACGAAGAAGATAATGATGACGATAATAATAATGATGACGATAATAATAATGATGATGATGATGATGACAATAATAATAAACCAACACCTTCATTATTTGAAACAGCAGCTGAATATGAAGCTAAACGAGCAACAACTCATCCTATAGCTAATATTCATGGTGACACATCAACCGGTGAAGAACATGAAGTAACAAAATTTCAGGTTTGAAAATATTATTTCTATTTAAAAAGAACAAAAGATTTCTATTTAAAATTTCTATGATATAGATGGCAGGCAAATTGTATATGTATCATCCTGAACAACAGCAATATGTTGAACGTGGTTATGGCATTTTAAAAATTAATGAAAGTCATGATCCATCTGATTGGAATAAATTACAAGCACGATTAAGTAAGATATTTATTAGAATAAAAATTAGAGAATTTAAAAATATATGGGGTTGCCCAGTCTGGCCGGATACCCCATTAATATATTTTTTATTGTAAGGATAAAACATGCTATTATTCGGGCCATATGAAAGAGGATGAAAGATAACCCTGAATCGGCCCGATCAACACCATGTTTTATCCTTATAATAGTAGAGAAAAGCTACTAGTTCACACGATAAGGTGGTAGCTTTTCTCTGCTATTGTAAGGATAAAACATGGTATTGTTCGGACCGATCCAGGGTTATCTATGATCCTCTCTCATATGACCCGAACAATAGTATGTTTTATCCTTACAATAAAAAAAATATTAATGGGGTATCCGACCAGACTGGGCAACCCCATATATCTGGACTACAAGTTTAAAGTTCTAATCGTAATCAACCATAGCTGAAGAGAGTCAATTACTAGATCTCTGCTTTCAAGTTTTTCAGCTCGTATTTCTTGACCTGGAAAGATAACGTTATAGATTTGAATAAGAAAATTCTTGTAACATTTAAAATTACTAAAGAGTTATCATGTAAATTCTGATGCTATGAAAATATTCATCAATCTTTGATATTTCATTAAAGTAGTAGATGTGGATTAGAGATGTATATAGCGGCTTAAAACAAAAAAAAACGTGTTTTATATTCCACTCTTGTTACCAATTCATGCAGTTTTTGCAATGACCTTCATAAAAAAAGAAAGATCTCCAATGATAAATATCTCTTATGTGGATACACTAAATTGTGGATAATGCGTTATGAAGCTAAGAAGAAGTGTCCTTGATTTGTTCGACTTCTCAAGACATGATGATTATTCGTACATGAACTGCACATATGTTAAAAGTTGTGTATCTCGAAAATCATATTTTAACTTAATTTGTTTTCATAAATATAGAAAACAATTTCATCATTATTCTCGATTAATTTTTTATATTTACTCAAAATATACATTTGAATAAATGTTTTCGATTGGAAAAATAACTTCAAAAATTTCTATCTGAAGAAATCTTGAGTTTTTCTTTCAAGATATTCATGTTTTTTGTTTACTTCAAAACGTTTATTCAGCGTATACTTAGACTAGCTAAGTAGCCAATTAAAATAGTTACTTATTAAATTAGCAACAAAAACAAAGATGTTAATCAAGCTTATATCATTTGAAGTGTCGCTACGAATACTTATGGATCAAGGAAGAATATTCCGTCTTTAACCTATGGGATGTCGCCTAATGACGAAGTTAGTAATCCGATGCCATCTCTATAACAATGACTAACAGTAGCTTTGGAAAGAAGACTGGCCCTGCACAAAGTTCTCGAGCTTATCATACACATTAACTAACCACGAGTGCAAGTGCATGTCAGAACATGCCATCAAACTGGTGATACCGATGTTTGAACATAGTACTTTGTGGATACTTTCCGAACGATGTAACTACTTGGCTATGAAGAAAGCTATTTAGAAAATTTTTAGAGAAGAGCGATCTTGATGAGTAGAACAAAAGTTCTCATAGACTTTAAATTGCCGGATGTTTCCTAATAGGAGATATTGTGGACGTAAATCTGTCACAACTTTTTCGCCTATAAAATGTCTAATAGAAATAAAAATTCTTTGTTTGACAAATACTGAACACTATTCGGGTTATCTACATTTTGTCTTTGATTTAACCCTTTGAGTACGGGTTTATTTTTGTATAGAAAAAAAATTACTATATAAAAATAATTTCGTATTCAATGAATTGAGGGATATCTAATAATGATCAAGCAATATAGATAATCTTAATCGCACTAATATCATCCCAGCTCAAGAAGTACGGACTAGGGGTGGTCCCTTTATCTTAATTTAATATTAAGTATTAAGTTTTCACTTATCACTTAATATTAAGAAATTAAGTTTTCACTTAACACTTAATTTCTTAATATTAAGTGTTAAGTGAAAACTTAATTCTTNCTCAGAAATTTCAAAGGACCTCTATCGATTGCAAGTAGAGAACATTTTGTTTAAAAAATTTCGAATTTTTGCATTTTTTTCAAAATTATTGATTTTGTAAGTCATATATCTCGAAGGCAGAGCAATGAAACAAAATATTTTTTTTACCAATCTATAGCTTGTGAAGTTCTCTACAAATAATGTCTTGGAAGCTTTTCAATCCCATGCTTCCTTTATTTTCTGTGATCGCTCTACAAATGGGTCATATATGACCCGCTGGGGGGGTAGAGGGTTAAATATGTATAGTATAGATATGTAGTGGAATCTGAATGTTAGCTTATGATTAAGATAGATCGATTTGATTATAGTTTCTAATTTTTAAGATAAGAAACAGCGAAATTTCTTATCAAAAGTAGCTTTCTACCTATCGCTAATTGAAGTAAAATGAAATAATTTGTTAGTACAATAACAAATTTTTACAAGACGTAGCGTGACATGCTCAACATAAATCATAGTTTCCCACTCAATCTCATTGTATATTATTAATCATAACGTTCTATATGTAATAATCCAAAGCATTGACATCAAGGTTGTTTGATTATTATCTACAATTGTTTATAACATTCATGAAATTCTATTCACATTATGTCAATGATTACGTATATGCAGTGTCGTGTTGATAGATAAAATTGTCCTCTAGGAAATGTTTTCCTTTAGATTATAGATCTTAAAGAACAACTTCCATATAATTCGAGACATGAGACTATTTTTGGTTGTTCATTTGTTTGTTATCGATTTGCAGTATAAAGACGTTCATCGATGAAAAAAAGAAATCGAAAATTCATCATACAGAATCTTCTCTTTTTCGAAAACAAAGGATTCATAGATAAAATAAGATTATTGTGATGTGCCGAGCTTTTCATGCTACATTTTTTGTTATATTTTGAACTGAACATTCATTACAAATGCTGTTAAATTTATTTCGATTTGATATTTATTATAAATCTATTTTATATTTTCAATTTAGCTTGCCTACAATTTACTTTCACTTCGTTTTAATTCACGTGTTCGTGTTAAAACATATACAGATGAAATAACACCCATAGCAAGTGTAGTTGATATTTTTGAAGGAGCCAATTGGATGGAAAGAGAGGTTAGACAAACGTCAATTATTTAATATTATAATAATAAATCGAAATACATAGGTTTGGGATATGTATGGAATTTATTTTACAAATCATCCAGATCTTCGTCGTATTTTAACTGATTATGGTTTTGAAGGTTATCCATTGCGTAAAGATTTTCCACTTCCTGGTTATACAGAGGTTCGTTATGATGAAGAACAAAAACGTGTTGTTATTGAACCTCTTGAATTATCACAAGATTATCGTAAATTTGAATTAAGTACACCATGGGAAACATTTTCTAAAGTAAAATAAAAAAACCTAATTTTTGTTTGTCTATTAAATTAAATTTTTTCTTTTCATAATTAGTTTCGTAATCGACCTCATGATGATACAAAAAAAAGTCAAGAAGCTACAACGTCTGAAATTTCGCAAAAACCAAGTGGAACTGGTAGTGAAAATAAAAAATAACATAAACATCTCCTCTATTCCTTTTTTTCTTTCCTGTATATAGGCGTCAGTTTTTCTTTCTTTTTTCATTTAAAACAATAAAATTATCTTAGCACTATCCCGAAAAAATTGTTTTGGAAGATAGAACATGACGTCTTGTTCTTTTTTTTACAGATATTCAAGTATGTTAATATCAACAATTCTTCAAAGAACTGTTTTAAAATCAACATCATTACCGATGATGTTTGTACGATCGTATAGAACAAAAGATATGTTACGTCGACGATGTCAAGATTGTTATGTTGTTTGGCGTTATGGACGAATGTATATTGAGTGTCCAAAATTTCCACGTCATAAAACAGTTTCGAACTTTGCAAAAGAAAAAGGTTGGGGATGGTTAGATTGGCGATTGGCACCAAAACTTGAACGTATTAAATAGTAGATTTTTTTAAAATTTTCTTCATATCATTGTTTCCTTGTTTGATATATAAATATATCAAAAATAAACATTGTAGTCTAAGCGATTGAAAATTGATGTTGTTTTAATGAAAATTTTAAATGAAGAAATATATATTTGAATGATATCATATCGATGATTAGGAAATTGTTCAATATATGTATCATATTTATAGGCGCTCTCTGTCTCTATGACTTATAAATATGCTGAATTCATTCACGAATATACTCATAACAAATAAAAATGAAATTCTATTTGATTCATTACAAGAATTCTATACTATTTCTAACTATACTTATCTTCTCTAACATTTCTATGAGAAAAATTTACAATGAATCCAATAATTACTTTGTTTTTTTCTTCATCTCCATGTGTCTTCAAAAATAATAACAATAGTTAGAAAATAACATCAAAGCAACTGTCTATCAAGTATTGTCTAACCAAAACATAGATAGTAGAAATATATATAAGACGAAATTTGATGATAATGATGCTCTATGAGATATCCATAGGAGGGTAAAGAAAGAAAATAAAAAAAAAATAAGAATAACTTAGATTATTGGAGATAACTACTTGACTGTTGCAAACTCTACATTCATTAATCAGACAAATGATGAGACATTGTTTACAGGCATGATTGCACACGTATGCTTATTTTCATTGTTTTGCCATCAGTCGTAGAAGAAAGAAGAACAGAACAAGCATATTTAATACATAACTTGTTAGTTGATTAATCTTATTGATGTAAAAGAAATGAGTATGTATTCCTGTGAGAAGGATAAAAATCGAATTTCCATCCGTCAGTCTCTTGTGTAAAATTTCATTGATATGATATTGGAAAAATTGACCATTTGGAATTATTCCATATTCTATTTAACCATCTGCTGAAATATTCTCGCCTTTTATTTGATCGATTCGAGGTGTGTGTATTTATGCGTTAAGAAAAAGAACCTTGTCCCTAAATCTCATTGCTTATTTTTTAATCAATCAATCAGCTATTCTTATATAATCACTTTTTTTTATAGAATAGAGAATGAAGATGTTCATTCAGTTGTAGAATGAATTACATATGTGTATAAAGAATTCTTATCTATAAAATAGTCTACAGGTGTTAGACATTGGATAGATTTATCAATATTATCAGATCCAATGGCTGTCATTGATTGGCTTCAAACATCAGAATTTATTCGTCGTAAGATATGCCTTTCAAATAATGAGTCTATTTCATTTCTTGTTTCTTTTTTTAATATAGAAAATTCGGAACCTTTTATTTTATATTGTTTATGTGGTGGTTTTATTGGTATTACGATTATTTTGTTAGTGGTTATTATTGTTCTTTATACTGAAAAACGACATCAGACAAATGATGAATCTAGTAAAATAACGAATGATTATCAAGTACCAAGAAATGATATTGATTATAATGATATTTTATCAACTACACGTCCTTATTTACCTGTTTATCATTATGATGGAAGAACTCATCATGAATTGTATCGTGCATAATGAAAGAAAAAAACGGAAATATTATCTATTGTAGTCAAGTTCCGGTGATTATATATATTCGTTCTATTAGAAATTTAATTATATAATCGCAATGAAAAACGTAATATTCAAAAACGACAAAAAAAAATCAATTGATATTGTGTTAATGTTTTGATGAATTAGTATTAATTTATTTGAAATACAAGTTTCTATTTAATTTTACAGGGAAAGAGAAAACAATTTTTGTTTTTATTTTGAAATTTCTTTTTGGTTTTCTATAATAAAGATATATTCATTATTTTTATTCTTTGTTTGATACAATATTCTGAACAATAGACATACTTTTATATTTATAAGGTAAGATAGTTCTATGGAACTTGACAATTGATTTTTTTTCTTTTGTTCGCTGAAAATAAATATATATACAGGGTGTCCCATAAATAACACTATGATAAAAAACTCAAATATCTTGACTCCGATTCAATAAAATAGGCTGATTTTTCTGTTAGTGATAGAACTTTATTCAAATCTGTTTTTTTCATACGGATAATGTAAGTAAATACTTATACTAAATATTATTGTTTAACTCACTGAAAAAATTTGATCTGTTATCAAGTAAGAAAAATACATGTGAAGTGTTCTTTAGATAGGTTTTAGTTACCACCTAAGAGAATAGTAAGAAGGAATCAAGATAAACTTTATGAAATGATACAACATTAATGTAAATAGACCGGTATTTTCATAAGTAATTGATTTAAAAATCAACGACTAGAATATTTCAAATTTTAAAGCATGAAACACTGTTTTGTTTTGAGGATGTTGGCGGCAATTCAGTGCCTAAAGGTCTTTAATTGTACATTTTAGTTTTCAGACACGAATTGAAGTATCTAAACAAGCCACTTCTAAAAATTTGGTTCTATTTGTATCAATGTTGTATTATTCACAAAGTTTGTTTTCATTTCTTCTTGCTGTTCTCTTAGAAGATAATTTATAATTATCTATAGAATATCTTACCTATATTTTTCTTACTTGATAACACATAGAATTTCTTTAGTGAGATCAACAATAATACTTAATAGAAGTATTTACTTACATAATCCGTATGAAAAAAATCTTCAATAAAGTGCTACTGTTAACAAAAAGAATCAGCTCATTTGATTGAACCAGAGTGGAGATGTTTGAATTTTTTTATCGTAGTGCTATTTACGGAACACCCTGAAGGTTTTTTATTATTATTGATCGAAGGATATAGAGATATGTTCGATATACTCAATAAATTAGCTTCAATTATCATCTCATCTATGAATGTTTATTATTGTTATAATGTTATTGATTAACTTTTTTTCTACTGTCATTAAGTAACATGACCAGCTACAGAAGTTGCTTTATTCATGTCTTATTATTAGTTTGTTCATCGGTAAAACAGTATATATTTAAAGACAATATTATAATATAGATTGGTGTATTTTCGAATAAAAATTTTAATTTGATTAACCTTGACAACGGTAACTAAAATATTGATTATTTTAGCTTTTCAATTTTTGATTAAGAAAAGATCATTGAATAATGTATACTTCAAGACATATTCTTGACTAAAATAAATATTTTTTGTTTGTCACTATACAATAATGAAACAACTATGATTTTTATACAGAAACGAAAGAGAAAAAAAACTAATTTTTTTACAAGTATTTGATGTTAATGATGCTATTGAAAATTGAATAAAAAAACGAGAGCAAAAAAAAAAGAAAAAAGAATAAGTAAAAAACAATAGGAGTGTCAAAATTGAAAAAAAAGAAAAAGAAAATGAGAAACGACAAAAAAACATCAATAACAATCTCTATTCATTGTAGTAAAAAATAATGTTTAAAAGACAATTTTGATTAATACAATCTGATGATGATGATGATGATAAATCCAACACTTATTACAAATGATCGATATTCATCAAATAAAATTACACGAAATAAAGAACAAGTGATCGGAGCAGTTATGATAGCTGAACAATGGAATCATGCTCAGGTATGTGGCCATTTGTAGATTTAATGATGATTTCGATATTATTATATGCAACATAGAATTATTTGATTATAACTTTATCTGTGAAGAACTCTTAATAAAGAAAATCATTTTTTTTTTAATTATTTCAGCGATGTCAATTAATCGAACGATTATTACCATTATGTAATACGGTTCAACTTGATATGTTATGGACAGTTTTACAACCTTCATTACATCGTGATTATTTCTATGCTGTTAAATCACGTTATCCTAATTATCATTTCAAACGAATAAGTACACCCGATAGTCGATTACTTAAAGTATGGAAAAAAGAAAATCAATTCGTTTTTTTTTCTTCCTCATATTCATTCATTTATATTTATAAAAACAAAACACATAGGAATATTATAGTCGACGTTTCGATCGAGAAGATAGCTTCTACCTTAGTGCCATCAATGATCTTCGAGAATTTCGTGATGATGATGGTCTCACAAGGAAGTCACAATCATCATTCGCACAGTAAGTTTTTTTTTAAACTATAGAGAAAACTTCTGTATTATCATCATCATATTGTCTCGGTACATCATAATAATGTTCTTTAGTTGTTGTTGTTGGAATAGATGAACCGATAAATGTATTTAATTGTTTATTAGTAAAACGAGTTGTTTGTCGTGGATAATCATATTGTGATGAATTATTTGTTTGATTTGTTGTTGAAGAATAACATGTATTATATCCAGTTGATGTTATTAAATCAGCATTACATCCAATATTTTCTAAAACTTGTCGAATACTTTCTGTACGTCGAAGTGTTGAACCATGTTGAGCTTGATAAAGTTTAGGATCAACACGAAACCAACCAAAATTTTGAATTTCTTGTTTAATTTTAACACGAGGTGGTTCATATCGAAGAATAAGATTACGTTGAATAGGTCGACTTTGTTCAGTGTGTTGATGTAAAACACGATGTTCTTTTGTTGGTTTAGATGATGAACATTTTTCAATAATTACTGGACGTGGCTTAACTGGTAAAGGTGGTATATGTTTAATAATAACACGACGTGGTACTGTTGGAGGTGATGGTAATGTTTTTGTAATCATTTCTGATGGTTGATATTTCGGAGATGTTGATGGTTGTTTCCGAACAATTAATAGCGATGGAGTACGAGGTGGTATTGATCTATAAAATTAAATAAATAATAAGCTTTCTTTTCGTTCGAAGAAAAACAAAGTCTTACGGTGTTGTTGAATTAGGTGATATTGTTTGTTTTTCACGAAAAACAAGAGGTTCAGGTGAAGGTGATGTAGGTGATCTTAAATATCGAGTTCCTATTGTTTGAGTATAAGTAATATCATCTGCATTAGTATGATACATTGTTACAGGATTATTATTATTATAGTTAATATTATGTTTTGAATAATCTGATGATAGATGAATTTTATTAAGATATGGTTCAGATTTAGTATGATTTTGAAAATTATTATTAATATTTGAATGCAATCGAACTCGATAAGATCTTCTTAATTTTTGTTTATTATCATTATCATCACTTGTTCTATGTTCAATTTTAATTTGATCATTATTTAAACGTTGATTATCACTTGATTTTGAACGTTGTTTTTTCAGAAGTTCTTCTTGTTGTCGATATTTTTCAGGAAAAAGACGAGCAAATGCTGATTGTGGTCCACCTATAAGAGGAAGAGGTCTTATTGGTGTTGTTTTCCAGGATGTTGTTGTTGTTGTTGTCATTTTATTGATTTTTGTATGTTCTATGTTATATTATTATTTTCTTAGAATATAAAAATGTTGACTATCGTCATTAGTTTTATTATTATAAAATGTTGCTGTTCGTTTGAAGCTATCAAAGTTAAATTCTCTTCAATAAATAAAATATCATTAGAATAATTACTTTAAATATATATGTCGGAGTTGACTTTAAAATTCAGTTGACTTTAAAATATTTTAAACTCAACTAGTTGTCTTTAAAATGCAACTAGTTGACTTTACAATTTATTTTAAAGACAACTAGTTGAGTTTAAAATATTTTAAAGTCAACTAGTTGCCTTTTAAAGGCAACTGAATTTTAAAGTCAACTCCGACATATATATATGTATTCCTCACTGTCTTCGTTTTTTTTTCTTCTTTTTATGACTTATATGATTTGATCTATTTTAGCAATTATTTAAATGATCATTCAAAATCAATTTATATGACATCAAATAATTGAATGAAAGAATAGGATCTGTTTGTTTCGCTTGAATGAATAATATATATATATGTATGGGTCATTTCAGGCAGAACGGAGGAATACACCCACCTATTATTTGACTTTGATTTTTTTTTTTACAACGGTTATTTTTCTGATTAAGTTCTTTCAACAATAAAAAATACTGACTGGCTATTAATAAAATAGTAATTTGTAAACATCTATATGAGCATACGAGAAAAAAATCCGAAAACTTCAGAATAGACTTTATAGTAAAATTTTTAGCAAAATCAAACTCCAAAAAAGTGCTTCTTCTTAAAAATCGGTTTTTCTAAAGATTGGGAATTGCTTTTTGAACTTTTCATACAGTTATAAGAGCAGTTTTTTTTTCGTACTCTATCACTTCGTTAATGAAAAGTCTACGCATGTTTAATGAATACAGATTTAATTTTCAAAAATAAGTTGCCTCCATTCGAAAGTTTTCTAAAACTAAAATTCATCAAGTGCAAGTCAATGATCGTCTTTTGTGCTATATCGCTAATGCTAGTAACTTCTCTGAACAAAGATCTCTAGTGCTGATTATTCCGGGATGTCTAGAGTAGTTTAACATATAAAAATTAGCTCTAGAAAAGTTCCTTAATCCGAGATACTCGGTCTTTAATGTTGCAAAGTGACATCGCCACTAAATGATTTTGTTCATGTATCGAGAGACAATGTTGAGTTTTTCATTGTTTTCTTTTTTGTATTTATGTGTGTATAGATATACCGAAAATAAATCATCTTCAGTTTATTGCCCACCAATAAAACAATCAATTCTTGCAAAACATAATGAAAAAAATCGATCTCCATCTCGGTAAATTATTATTGATTTATGTTTATTTTGTATTGTTTTTCTAATGCTTCTAGAAGCTTTGATACCAATACTGAAAATTCAAAAAAACAAAAAAATTCAAGTGAATATGCATCAAAAACAGCACGATCGGTTACTATACGATGGACAGAACATTCAATTGGTTCTTCTATAACTGTTAATAGATTATTATTCATTTTGAATATGTTTATTTTGAAAACTATTATTTAATTATAGATATCAAGTAAGATTGGTTCTGAACAATTATTAAATTGGTTTACACATTCTTGGTCAGGTAAGATTAGTTTATTTATTTTGTTGCGTTTACTTGTTCTAAATGAATATGAAAAATTTAATTTATTTTTTAAATAGAATCTGAACAAAATGATTTTCTTCGTCGACTTATTGTTAAATTTGATGAAAGACAACAATATTTTACTTCATGCGTGATCACAGTAATAAAGTGATTAATCTAATTTGAATGTATTCTTTATTATTTATATAGCAACGTCGTTATCGTGATTTTATTAGTTTATTACCTCGAAAAATTGTTTTTCAAATATTAAATTATTTAACTCTTGAAGAAGTATCTCGAACTCGTGAAGTATTTTGAAAAAAAAGAGATTTTTATTTAATAATGTAAAAACAAAGCTTCTTTTGCATTTTTTAGGTATGTAAAAATTGGAAAACAATTATTGATCGTGAACGTGATCTTTGGAAGCCAAAAACTAAATCTAAAAAATTAGAAGGTATAAATATATTAATAAACTAATGAATTTTTCACTTAAATTTATTTCTATATAGCAAATAAAACTATACAAATTGATTGGGAAAAAATTCACAAACAACGTTTAGCTACAAAACGTAATTGGTTAACTGGAACTGCACAACTTATCAAATGTGCAGGACATACAGAAAGGTATTATTTTATCTTTTTGTAGGAAATGATTTTCTATGGATTTTGTTCACGTATTGTTTGCATAACACCTAAACTAACTCTTCGATTATGAGGTAAAACATAAATTGGTATATCCTCATCCGTATTGTTCATTGAAAAATCATTTCTATCATCTTCATTTGCATCAATTGTAACTCGAGAAAGTCGTCGTTGTACTGATGCTGATATATGTGGATGATCAAGTTGTTTTAATGAACGTTTAACATTAATTATTTTTCTTGTTGCTTTGGGATTTACATCTATAAAACGTTGTAATAATTTATGTGCATAATTTTTTGCTTTTATATGATGAACAACCACTATAATTACATGTATAACAAAAGCAACAGCTAATAATAATGGTGCTAAATGACCAGACCAAGCACTATGATGTGAACCAACAGTTTTTTCACCTAATGTAAATTCATAACATGCATAACGTGGTTTTAAAATATTTTCATATTCATCTATAAATGATACACATGAAACATAATCACCTTCATGTAAACCAATAATACGTAAAGAATTTTGTGTATCAATTAAACGTTGTCTTGGAAAATATTCTGTTGAATTTTGTAAAGCAAATGGACGAAAATCATAATAATAATAACGATATTCTTTAAATGTTAAATTTGATATATTAAAATAAACAGTTAACATATCATCACGTTGACTCCATATATGACCAAAATTTAAATCAAGTTCATTTATTAAATTAATAGTATTTTCTGTATGGATTAATTGTATGTTGAAAACAACAAGATATAATATGATGAAATACATTGAATCAATTTACTTTTCTTCTTTTTCTTTATGTCTCAATATATGTTGTTTATGATGTGAATGAGATTCATAATGTCAATTGATGCTTTTAAATATGTTTTGAAAAGATCATGAATAATAAATGGTTCTATCGTTTTTCTTTTTATAGGGTTTTATGTATTTGTGGGAATATAACACATTTAGCAACTGGTAGTCTTGATCGAACAGTTAACATATGGTTAATAAATGATGGAAAATTATGTCAAACATTAAGTGGTCATTCAAAAGGTGTTTGGTCTGTAAAATTTCTTTCAACATCACTTTTAATAAGTGGAGCACATGACGCAACAATTAAAGTATAGATGAATATTTATGTTTTCGTAAAAAAGAAGAAAATATATTTTGTTTTTTTTATCTATATTTAGATTTGGAATATAAATACAGGTATTTGTCTAAGAACATTATTATCACATAATGGTCCAATATGGTCATTAGCATGTTCGAATGTTTTTTGTTTATCTGGTTCACAAGATCGAACTGTTAGTTGAATTGAAAAGAAACAAAAGTTTTACATATGATTAATTTTTTAATGTTTTATAGGCTCGTTTATGGCGTTTACCTAAATGTGAACTTCATGCAACGTTAACCGGTCATACATCAAGTGTATTCGGTGTTGATCTTAATCAAGAACAAAATCTTTGTGCAACAGCTTCAGCTGATAAAGTATTTTAAATCGTTTTATATGTATTTAATTGTATTATTTATTTTTGTAGACAGTTCGATTATGGTCATTAAGTACAACTCAATGTATTAAAATTTTATATGCAACAACAGATGATTATATAATGAGTGTATCACTTCAACATGGTTATATTGCATATGCATTTGGTGTTAATATTATGATCTATAAAGTTAATATAACAGAATCACGACCATGTAATGTTCAAAAAATAATGGAAACACATGAACATCGTGGACGGTAATTAAATTCAATGTTAGTATTTTGAAGTTTGACTATTTATTTTTTAATTTTTAGGATTGAAAGTGTTCAATTAATATTATTAAGTGATGAAGATAAACAACCATCACTTGTATCAGCTGGTCAAGATGGTTTAGTAAAATATTGGAATTTTAATAAGTAATTATATTAAATGAAGTTTTAAATAAATATATATATATATATATAATTAATCATTTTCTCTTTTTAGTATTGCAAGTCAACATACATACAATACACAGAATAATGAAATTGTCAAAATAAATTGCATATATGTTGATCGAAATCATATTGTTACTGTTGGTGATGATTGTTTAGTTAGAATTTTAAATTTTGTACCACGAAAATATAAAAATTAAATGATTTCTTTATCTTTATTTTTTTGTTTTCTTCTTCGCAATGAAATCATATAATTTTAGAGAATATAATTACAATAAAACAGTTGAAAGATTATTTAATGACTAAAATAACTTGCTTACAAATATCAGTTTGTATTTGAACGATAAAGAGTGACATCTGTAACATTGATTATAAAAGATATTTTTGTTTATTTTGAAATTAAATAAATTAAAAATGAAAAAATTCGATTTTTTTTTTTCTTCAAAGAATATTCATGAGAAATTCTTTTATTAATTAGTTTCTTCTTTAATGTCGTTTCTACTAGATCCATGAAAGGTTGTTCAATAATCGATTCATTGATTTTCCTTAAAACCTCTCCAATGATGGTTTTGACCAACCGAATCCAAAAGAAAGAAAAATAAACCAGTTCAAAGGCCGCCCGACAAGATCATATACGTAACGGCCGTTTGTATATGTGCATCGCTATTGTTTTCATACTTCTTTCTCGTCATAATTGTCTAGCATCACATAATGTCTTCGTACAGATCATTTTCATTTTCTTCCTTTTTTTTTTTTGTTTGTTTTCACTTACGCGCGTCCTTTCACAGTATTATTATTCTTCGAAAACTATTGAATAACGGATAAATAAAAGTTAGTCAATCAACATCTAGACTAACCAATGTAACATGAAATTTATTACATAATATGATTCATTTCTTGGTAAAACAGAACATTAAAAAAGTTTTAAAAAGCAATTATTCAATTTAAAATTTCGCCAAGAATCGACGCATAACAATTATTTATTTATCATCTCTTTATTTTAGATATAACACATACTTAATTAATACTTCTTTCTCAACAAAAAATGTCAAACGATGCACGTCAAAAAAATTATAAACATCGTGGACTTGATAGTGAAGAATTACGTAAAAGACGTGAAGATTTAAATATTACTTTACGTAAACAAAAACGAGAAGAACAGGTTCAAAAATGTTCTTTTCATTCAATTTCTCATCAAAATATTTTATCGTTTTTAGCACTTCAAACGACGCAATTTAGCAAGTACAAATGAACCTGAAACTTCCGCTCAATTTGGCGTCGCTGGTGCTGGTACTCAATCCACAGGACCTACAGAACCGGTAATAAAATGGTTTCAACTTGAAATAGAATTCAACTAATCTTTAGAATAATCAGTAAACTATTTAACATAGAAAATATTATGAGATTAAAATAACAATGCATGAACTGTGTATCTCAAGATAAAAAATTTTTATATGTTGAAATATTTTGAAAAACTCAGCACTAGAGATCTGTGTTCAGAGGAGTTATAAATCAAAAACTAACATTAGCGATATAAAATAAAGAAGGATATAAACTTGTTCTTCATATATTTTAGTTTAAAAATCCTTCGAATTGAGGCAACATTTTTGAAAACTAAATAGGATCTTCTGTACGCAACTCCTAAACGTACGAAATCCTTATTCATAAACATGCCTAGATTTTTCGTTACCGTCGTGATGGAATACGAAAAAAAATACTCTTATAAAAGAATGAAAAGTATTAAAATTAAGTACAAACCAATTTTCAGATCTCTGGAAAACCGATTTTTATATTCAAATTTTTCTTCTCGTATAACTATAAAGATATTTATTAATTAACTGTTAATTAGTAGTTAGTCAAGGTTTTTCTATGTTAATATAAGGAATTAAATTCAAATTAAAAGATGTCTTATATTTTAACTGTTATGTGTATTTGGCACATCTTTCTTCTTCTCGTCAAACATGTTTATCACGATTTACCACTTGTTGTTCATCCATCTACTTTAACTGCAGATCGTGACATACAATTAAGTGTCACGTTTATATAAAATCGAACTAAAGATGAAGTATTTCAATAAAATCATGGTTTTCTTTTATAAACTATAACATAAATTATTGCATTTTATTGAATAATCTTTACTTTGATAATAGTTTATGAGAAATATTTGATTTTTTTTTATCTTGTAAACTAGATTTAGATAAGAATGAATAAATATCTTCTGTTTTATTTAGCATGTCATAGGATATGCTTTACTAATCTTATCATGAAAGGTGGGGCTAATTGAACATTTAATGCAAAGAAAGAAAAGCATCAGGAAATTATTTTCTTTTTTTTTTCCAATCAATGAATGTGTATCATGGATTTTTAGGTCATTACAAGTCAAATGGTTGCGGCTTTATTTGGTGATGATCCACAACAAATGCTTGAAGCAACAATTCGATTTCGAAAATTACTTTCTAAAGGTTTATATATCATTTATGAAAATTGTTCATGTATTTCGATTTTCTTTTTGTTGTATAGAACCAAATCCACCTATTGATGAGGTTATTACAGCCGGAATTGTCCCTCGTTTTGTTGAATTATTAAAATTTCAACATTTTCAAATTCAAGTAAGATTTTCAAAAAAAAAATGAATAAAAATAAAAATGAATTCTCTTGAATTTTAGTTTGAAGCTGCATGGGCTCTTACAAATATTGCATCAGGCAATTCAAGTCAAACAAAATATGTTATTGATGCTGGCGCTGTACCAGTTTTCGTTCAATTGTTAAGTAGTGCAAATGAAGATGTTCAAGAACAAGTAAATCAATTTTATTTTATTTTATATTAAAAAAATTAATTAATTATTATTTTAGGCTGTTTGGGCATTGGGAAATATTGCTGGAGATAGTCCTGATTGTCGTGATTATGTTCTTGATACAGGTGTACTTCAACCATTATTAAAGTAAAATATGCTTTTTTCTTTTCATCAAATAATTAATATCGAATAAAAATTTCTTTTTAGTATTTTTTCACGTAATACACGTTTAACAATGGTACGAAATGCTGTATGGTGTTTATCAAATTTATGTCGAGGAAAAAATCCAGCTGTTGATTTTAATAAAGTAAAAATTTCGCATAAAATTTATTTATTTGAATATACGTAAGCAAATTTTTATTTAGGTTGCTCCGGCATTACCTGTACTTAGTCGTTTACTTTATAATCTTGATTCGGATGTGTTAGCTGATACATGTTGGGCTATTTCATATTTATCTGATGGACCAAATGAAAAAATTCAAGCTGTTATTCAAGCTGGTGTTACAACAAGGCTTGTGGAATTATTAGCGTAAATAAATAAACAAAAATTCTTTTATTTTTTTCAATTAAAAGTTGTTTTTTTTTAAATTATCAGACATCCAGTTTTAAATGTTCAATCATCAGCATTACGTGCTGTCGGAAATATTGTTACAGGTGACGATCAACAAACACAGGTAATTAATTAATTTAAAAAAGACAACATATGTGTTAATAATAATTTTTATATAGCTTGTACTTGATGCTGGTGTACTTCCACATTTATTAACATTACTTCAAAGTCCAAAAGAATCAATTAAAAAAGAAGCTTGTTGGACATTATCAAATATAACAGCTGGTATTCAAAGTCAAATTCAAGTAAAAAACAAACAATTTTTTTTTTTTAATAAATAAAGAATTTTTTTTAATTCATAGGCTGTTATTGATGCAAATATATTTCCATCATTAATCAATATACTTAAACATGGTGATCATAAAACACGAAAAGAAGCTGCTTGGGCTGTAACAAATGCAACATCAGGTGGTACATCACAACAAATAAAGTAAACATAAATAAATCAATCGTTTTTTTTTTATTTCTTCTTTTGTAAAGATATGTAATTGATCAAGGAGCAATACCACCATTATGTGAATTATTAAGTGTTACAGATACAAAAATAATTCAAGTAGCATTTAATGGTTTAGAAAATATTCTTAAGTTAGGTGCAGCTGAAGCTAAACGAACAAATGGACCTAATCCATATGCAATTATGATTGAAGAATGTTTTGGTTTAGATAAAATTGAATATTTACAAAGTCATGAAAATATTGAAATTTATCAAAAAGCATTTCATATTATTGAAACATATTTTGGTGTTGATGAAGAAGAAAATCTTCCACAACATGGAGAATCAGGACCATTTGAATTTGGTACAAATAATACGAATCAAGTAACATCAACAACAAATGGACAAATGAATACAACTGGTGTGAATACAAATCAACAACCTACACAAGGACCATTTCAATTTTAAACAGTTTACACACTATTATTAATTGAATGATGAGAACGATCGCTAAACGCATGTCTCTCTTTTTTTTTCTCTCTCTTTCTCCTTTGTTATAACATCGTCTGCTTCTTCGTCGTCGTCGTCTTTTTTTTTAAACTGAAAACCTACAATCTCCTGTTATTTGTCATGAGGGATAGATCTATAACATAACAATTTCCGACGGTGAACGAAAAAGAAAAAACTATAAAGAGTAATTGCATTTTTTTTCTTTCGTTTTCTTCTTCTGCCGGTGATAAAGCCGCGAGTATTTGTCTGTTTATGTGTTCATTATTATTATTACTTCTTGGATAACAACAGGATATGGATAGCGGTATTAAGTATAAATGTGTTATTTCCTTTTGTTTGCTCGTTTTTCTTTCTTTTATAATCATGTATCTATCAATCAAGAGGGTGTGAGAAAATGGAGATTTAAAAAAAAAATCATAGGATGATATTCTAGCAAATTCATAGATTTTTAGTAGTATCTAGAATTAGAAGATTAAATTTAGAAATCGATATGAATACAAGATAATATACAGAGTGTATTATAAAAAGCACTACGTTTAAAAAAGAAAAGAAACATTTTGGAATTGGTTGAGTGTTAAGTTCATTTTTTTTCATATGGATGACGTAAGTAAATAATACTATTATGTGATTGAGTGGCTACACTGTTCGACAGGTATTCACTAAATGCTGTGTGAAAATCTCNAGAATTAGAAGATTAAATTTAGAAATCGATATGAATACAAGATAATATACAGAGTGTATTATAAAAAGCACTACGTTTAAAAAAGAAAAGAAACATTTTGGAATTGGTTGAGTGTTAAGTTCATTTTTTTTCATATGGATGACGTAAGTAAATAATACTATTATGTGATTGAGTGGCTACACTGTTCGACAGGTATTCACTAAATGCTGTGTGAAAATCTCTGTATCACAAACTAAGAGTTGCGTCAAAATCACTATTTTGCTTTGTATGGATAGAGTTTTGATCTTTTTCAGAAAACTTACTGATAATTGTTCAATATTAGTCTAGAACGAACGCCTGAACATATAATCGGACGGAGCAAAAACTTCTAATTCTAATTAATCAGTTGTCCTTTTATGACCGAAAAGTAATTGAGTACTTTGTGTCAAGATTGGTGAAATGTATAAAATTTGCATAGGAACTTTGACCAGTGAATTTTTCAACTTACATGTCATGCATTCTTTGTTGACGAACTTCTTGCTAAGATGATAAAAAATTTGTGTTTGCTTATAAAAACCTGGAAACGGGTTTATACATTAAAAGAAAATAGCAATTTGTCTGAGACTTTAACCTACACTATATTATTCAGTACTTGCAGAGTCAAGTCGAGTTACGCAATGGCTTGTGAACTCCTTTGCATAGCTACACGTATCATTCTATAGTTCTATATCATAATATGTAGTAGATAAAATTAAATATTTGGTCTTCTGTGAGCTTAAAGTTTTAGCAGTAATCATAACTTTCTATGGCGATGCTGATTCTTTGATTCTTCACAGTTTCACAGGATTCAAAAGGATTTCGAATATAGAGAGGTTATGAATGCTCATAGAGTTTTAAATTCACAATGTCCTGTTGTTTACTTGATATATATGTACAGAGATATTACATAATAATGCTGTGATACTGAAAGCATAAGAGAAAGCGAGATCATTGCATGACTAAACCGGTGACAGACAATTCTTGATCAAGAAACTGAAATTGGTAACCATTTCATTTTTTTTTGATAAATGAAATAAATACTAAATAGAATTGCTACATTGTCATTATCAGTACACTGAATTCATATAAAAAGACCTGGTGACCAGACGGAATTCTCAACAAAAAAAAACATAGTTATTGGACTCAGTTTTCAATAAAAGACCCAGTTCGGAGAACTGTAATTTATCACAAGTCTATCCATGACCTTAGAAAGATAAAAGATTCTAAAAAATTATAATTTATATCAAAGTTCAATCCGTATATACACGTGCTTCATAACCAAAGGATTAACAATCTATTTTATAGATGCGGGTATGTAAAATGACTATTATTAGTACTATCTCAGGTAAATGAAAATTTTCTTTGCTATTCATTAAAATTTGTTCTTTATACTTTTATATGAAAGAAGCGAACTGTTGACAATGGTGAGAATCTGTTAAGTGAACTTATAACAAGCAAAAATAGAAACTATTCTGTTTATAAATATGTTCATCTGTTATTTAATTCTAATCGAAATACTTATGAATACCAATGAACTACTTATATTATCTCTGAGATATAATATTCATCATAAACATAAATCTGTCTTACAAAATTAAAACAATACACACATAGTCACAATTACGAAATATAGGCTATTTCAAAAGTCCGAACGAAAAAAAGAAACTTGAATAGCTTTTTCAGTAATTCAAGAGATATAAACACTTTTTTCAATAGTTTGATTAAATATTCATCAAAGTTTCATTTCGATATATATTTCCGATAGAATGTCTATGTGTATAGATATCAGAATATAAAACTTCTACTCATGATTAATTTTAAATAAACAAGCATTGTATAATGGTAGCTTCATATTGAATTAGGATAAAAAACACTAACTAAACATTGCATAAGTAACATATTTCAGCGATTGTGAAAAATCATGACTGTCAAAAATCTATGTTCATAGAGTAATTATCGAAGAAAGTGCTGATGAACTGTAAAAATGAGTCAGGATCAAGTGTTTGATCTATGTAACTCTTCTTCGTAGAACTTTTGAACAAATTGTACTTTAATAAGAGATATTCCGTCATACTCTAGTATGTTGTTGTTTGTGACAATGAACAAGCTAGTGAAATAGAGCAAATATTTAATACTGACTCATTTTCACAAGCGTCCTTAATTTTATTGACTTTTTCTTCAGTAATTATTGTAGGTCTTCCGGAACATATGATCAATTATCGGTAGTACTAGTTTCACAAAATCTCTAGCTGCTTTGTCAACATCCTATTCAAAAATAAACCGATTCATTTATATGAACGGATTCTTCGAAATAATTCAATATACTTTTTATTCAAACTGTTCAATCATTTAAAATGATTTTAAGTGTTTAAAATGACTTCTTTCGAGTGAAATGCAAAGGCAAGAATGTCATCTATACTGACACATACTTGACCTATGTATATATAGATAGATATGGTATACTGCCAGACCCTAGATAAGTCACACTTTTGTTATCAGATTGTAACGTCACTTATGCACTTGAATTATAGTTATCGCTCAACGGCTCCCATTTCACAATTTGGGTACCAAAAAATTCTAAATTTAATTTACAATTGAATGAAATACTTTCTATACACTCCAGAGATGCCTATAAACTTGATTTTTGGCCAGAAAAATTTTTACTTGTGTATCTTTCAGAATAAAGAGCAAGATAAAAGTCATAATCAAGCTGAGCATGATGATTATTACTATGTGCAAGTCACTTTCCATTGTTCATTGGTTTTAGCATAGACAATAGAAAAAAAAGGAAATTTGAAATATTTCACTCGTCTAAAATGTAATTCTAATACAGAATTCTGTTGGCATGTTTTCGTCTAATTCGACTCGCAGTTTTCGTTTTACAATAGTACCTAACTTGAATTGGTTCTCATCAAAACTATTTTAATTCGTTGACCTGCCAAGAAACTATTCACTTATTTTTTTTTTTGTTCGAAATTTTGGAACACGCTGCATAACAAGAGTATTTTAATGTCTTAAATGATATAGCGAAGTGTATACATATTTAGAATAATTGTAATGAACTTTCAAAACAATCACAATAAAACTTGTTATATCAGTGATTAGATAAATATTAAATTTTATTTCCTATTCCTTCAATCTATGGTAAAATCAACCATCTAATATTCTTCATCAGTAAATATTTCTTCATTATCTTCTTCTTCACTAGTATATTCTACAGACGTCAAATCTGAAGCAGCTTCACGTTGAGCTTCTTCCATTGCTTTTTCAAGTTCTACAGTTGGATCATTTTGTTCTATAAATTGTTTTTTCAATTCAATTTCAGGTAAAGGAGGTTGAGATGGATTAAATTGTTCATATTTTTGTCCCCAACCAATATATAAATTAAAATAATTTCTAAAAATAAATAAATAGAATTTCTTTTTTAGAATCCAATTATCTATATACCGAGCATGACCAAGAGTAAAAGCACCTGGCCAAACATTTGATCTTACATAACATAAACTATATTCATGCATTATAGACATGGTTAAACCAATTGACCATGGTCTTTGATTAGTATATAATAATTTATCATCACCAATAGGTTGTAAAAGTGGTGCAGGTATTTCAACGCTATTTCTATCTAATGTTTCGTTGTCTTCTTCTTCGTATCCTTCTTCTTCTCCTTTACTTAAATTTGTTGTTCTTGTAGAAGGTGGACGCCAAAAATGAGTACGTCCTTGTGATAATATTTCTGGTAGAGTATGTACCCATTCTTGTAAATTTGTATCAGCTAATAATTCAACTGTAATTAAATTTGTTGGATCATTATTATATTCAGGATTGAATATAATATTTGGATCTATTGAATTTTTAAAAAATTATTTCTTAATATTAATTGTTTTTTCTTTTTACCTTTTCGTTCATTATTAAAGCTCATCTCTTCTACTTCTTCTTCTTCTTCTTCTGCTCTATTATCTGTTAGAATGTAATATCCAGCTGGTGATATATGTGTTGTTGCTGTAATACGTGCAATTTGTGCTCGTAGATAATCTCTTTCTAAACCAGGATATGGTGGAAATCGATTAATTTTTGATGAAAGACAACCAGTAAATAAATATCGAATTTTTCTTGCATGATTAATCATAATTGGTTTAATATCAGGTAATTTTATCCATGAAAGTCCAGGTGAATTCGTTACAAAATAAGTATATTGATTAGTACCAATTCCATGTGGTTCACTTGGAATTTCGAATGGTAATATTTCCTTAAGAAATAATCAAATGTTATTTTATCTATTTGATTACTAATGTTAGTTTTGTTTACTTGTTCTTGATTTGATTTTGTTTCTATTCGATGATTTGAATATTTAGATGTTAATAATTGTTTTCGATTTACTAACTGATTACTAATATTAATTTCATCAAATGGAATTTCTTTATCATGTTGAACCTTTTCTTATAGCAAAACTTATCTATATAATTGTTTTATCTCAATTATTAACTATCTTACTTGAATAATGTAATAATCACAATAAAGTCCAAATATTTTTCCCCAAAATTTCATTTCTATACAATTAATTTCATTATTTAAACGTTTCATAGCTGACCAAACTCTATCAAAAATAACAATCAACAACTAAATTTATTACATGGGAGTGACCAGTCAGTATGGTACCCCATTTTGATACACTCCTATTGTATGGATAAAACATACTATTGTTCGGGTCATATAAGAGAGGATCCTAGATAACCCTGAATTGGCCAGAACAACATCATGTTTTATCTGTACAATAGTAGA